TCTATGACGTAGATATTTAAATATATGTAGAGGTTACTTGATTGGGTGGTAGCCAAAAGATGATGAGCCATTGTCGATGTTTAAACTTACCCAGATGACAACCATCTGTACCAGGCACAAAACTGTGCTGAGTCCCGAGTTGCTCCAGGGAGTATCTTTGTTGTGTTCCTCTACGAGGACAATGATTAAAAAAGGAGGTAAGTTAGCTGTATGCCCAGAGTCAGCACAGTGTGATATTAAAAACATTTGTTAAGTAGATTTTACACAGAAATAGTTGTTGCAAAAGGCAGTAAAGCCTGAAGAAAAAACATTAGCAGCAGGAAATGGAACTGATAGGAACTTTCCCCCCCCAGCTTAAAGGTGTTGGTTTCAGACACATTTTAAGGTGCAATTTGGTTTGGCTGTGTTTTCAGGTGTTGTCAGAAGGAAATAAAAACCGAAAATGTTTTCAAATTGTTTAACCTTCAAAACATTTTAAAAGAGTTCAGAGTTCAAAGAATTCACACATAATTCGCCTTAAGCAGAAAACATCAGAGTCCACAAACTTCCAAAAACATCAAAACACATATTTAGATTTGAAGATATTCTTTTTAATGTTAGGTGGACATTGAACTGACCAAGGCTCTCTCTATAAGCCAGAAACAAACCAGTCTGATGAATTACCCAAATCCAAGGATGAACACAGAATCACACTAAGTGCACTGATAAACTTATAACCTTTGCAAACAGCAGGAGAAATGTTCATGGTCGTATTCTCTCCTTGCGCTTGGTCCCACTCACACTTTTACCAGTTTTTCATCGCTTGATCCGATTGCATTTTCTTGGCCCACCGATTATTTTTTCAGAAACTTCTAACATCAGTATATTTTCTTTGTTACGATGCAAGTGTGTCATTAACTGAGAACTTGTGTTTGACGTGATGTAAAGCAAAACAATGTGGTGTTTGGGCTGGAAGCCAGAATCTTGAACTTCCCTCGGGGGGGTCATGTCAGCCGTGTGTGCATATGTATGCACACATTCTGATAATAGATAGCAGCAGCAGAGAACATTATGAACTTTTAAGTGTGTGTCTGACTATCACCTAAATACAACATAGAATGTTTATATATAACATACCAACATAGTTGTGTGACGTACCCATCACACAGCCTCTCTACCCTCCCTCAAAATGTCAACCTCTCATGTCACCAGAAACAAAGATGGCTGTGGCTGTCGCTGATAACTTTCTTTTATAAGCTTTCTTCTCTGTTCATTGTGATAATCCTCGTGCTATTTCCTGATTTATGACCTCAAGTAATTGCATTAAAGACCCACAGTGTCAACCTACTTTCACAAATAAAAGAGTTTCATTAAAAAGAAGAACCTCTAGAACAAACGGGTGACCCTACAGTGCACGATGGCCGTGCACGTGACGGCTGAGGAATCGTAGCATAAATAATCAAACAGCGAAAGTACCCAGGAATTACACAGGAAATCAATTGTATTGAATGTATTGAGTAACAGTTGTTCCTCCTCAGGTGTTTAGAGAGACAAAGCAGCATGATATTCTGCTTCATGAATAAAAAAAGAAAATCTAATTTCCTCACTGAAATAAAAGTATTCATTTTAAGAATCCGAGGCAGACAACATTACAATCTGTCGCCTGAGGGTGCAACTATATATGCTGTATCGGAAACTAATTTTCAGAGACTGATTCAGCGGATGGAAACAATATGAGGTGTAAAACTGCTTAATGCTACACAACTTACCGAGCCTGCAGGAATGTTTGCTGTTGCAAAGGCAAATCGGCTGCTACACAGAAATGTTTAATGCGCACATTTCTCCGTGCATAGCTTTGTCTCTGTATCATAATGTGCTCCACAGTATTAAATGTCACCTAAATGTGACAACCGTTCTGCAGTTATTAGTAAGACTTGGTTTCCTTCTCCAGACAAGAGTGCGCACATATCGGACACATCAACAGTAACTGTATTCCTGAATTTGCGTTAATAGAGCTTACACAGAAAATATGTCCTAGTATTTTATTGCATTTTCTTCAGATAAGCTGCCACCTGAAAACATTCAGATCATGTACACCCATATGCGGGCACATTCTCAAGAGCTACAAGAAACCTGTTTTCCATTTTGCACAGTTGGTTTAAGTCATACAGGAAATAGTTTTCAGTTATGCTGATTATGAAAGAACACGATAAGAGTCAGAGGTGACAGGTGGTGTGTCTGAAATTTAACACTTAACCTTCCAGAACCCTAGTGGAAAAACATTTATTAATTTTGAATTTGTTTGGGGCTAAATGCATCACAATTGGCTCTGCACTGCTCCGTTGTTGTTGTCCAGTGACAAAATAGCATTTCAATGCATTTATTCCATTTTCAATTGATTTACTCATTTACATTTCAAAAGGGAATTGACTATTTTTTCTCCTTGACTACCTTAATCTGTAAACTAGTAAGCCAAAATGAAAAAAAAATTAGCTACAAAATCAAAGATAGGCACAACATTGCTCAGGAAAAAGCACGGTCCCTTTTACCTTGCAAACAATCAGGGGAATTTCCCCTAACCTGAGCCCATAGGCTGTTGGTGCAGCGTCCAAACAGCACCAAGCATAAAAGAAGGAAAGAAAAAACTATACAAACATCCTATGAATATTAAAACATCACTTCCAAACACATTCTTGTTTCTTGGTTTTACTGGTGAGTATTTGCTGAGAAACATTGAACACTGTCATCACGTGAATTCATGGTTTCAAGGAATATCAAACAGAAATGTGACAAACACGATTAGAGACATCCACGATTTCTAAAAACACAAAACAGTAAGCAGGCTGTTTTCCCGACAGGTTGAGTTACCACTCACACTGAAGGTGAAGGCTTTCCGCAGAGCATTTAGGCCGGAAATATGCATCTCTTCAGATGAAACATTTCAAAAGCATATTTAGATCCAATTTTCTCCTCCGGTCCTTTTAACTTTGAAGAACATTTTGCACCTTTTTGAGTAGCTTCACTTGAGTAGAACTGTTAATGCTGAACTCCTCTTATTTTGCCCTAATGCCATTTTCCCTGACTGTTATGGGGTCAGACACCACCACCCTCTCTTTCTGTTTGTTTGGTTGTACAGAAAACTTTACAGACTTCTTCCACTTCCGTCGACGACCAAACATGTAACTTGAGGCTGCGGAGGTGGCTCTGAGGGTATTTATGATCTGTGATTATGCACTATTGTCATGTTAATGTGATGCTCACAATCCTCAAAAGTGGGATTAAATTGTATGACTCTGCTGAATGCACATTTCTCCAGGAAAAAGATGAGGATTACCAACTCTTGGTCATATCTTAATTTAGACGACTCTGCACACTGAAAAAAGCAAAGCACATACGGTTGCATTCTTTACAAAGGAAGGATGTTGTAGCCCCCCAGAATAGAGGGCTGCTTTAATGGGTGTGATGGCCTTCCCCTAAATAACCCACACAGCAGAAATTTCCGCCGACATGGGTAGAATCAGATGCATCTATATTCAGTTATAAGGCCCCGGAGAGCTTCACACTTTAAGCATAGTAGAAGCATGAGAAACAGGTCTTACCATCCAATTAGAACAGGCAAAGACTTGGGTTTAAAAAATACAGGAGGCTGTGTGGGTTCACATCAGATGTGTGAAAAAAAACTACAGCAGTTTTTGACTCAGGTGACTTTCCACTTACTCATCAGCACTTTGCAGTCACAAACTTTCTTTACAGTGATTCAGGATGGATTGTGAAATACTAGAAAGTGAAGTGATTCAACATCAGAAAACCTGCGGTCTGGGTTCAGAGGGGAAAATCTTTTTTTTTTTGTTTTGCTGCGAGAAATGGAAGTGACGTGATTTGCTCGATTGTTTGGAAAAAAAATAATTCGCGTACGTGACGTTGGCTCAACCAAATCAGTCAGGTGGGTGCAGCCTCTACGTGAGCAAATCATTTACTTCAGAAATGCATCTTAACCCCGCGCTCCGTTTCCTCCACGTGCATCACTCGTTGCAGTTTTTTTTTTATCTCGGATCGAATACCTTCGCATTCGAGGAGCGTGAGTCAGGGGGAGGGGCGTGATGTGGGCGTGGCCTCGTGCCCAACAGCTGGCACTCAAAAACCAGGAGGACAGTCGGGATCCACGGCAGAGGAGTCCAGCCTCAGCGAAGTTGGGTCCAGGTCGGAGACAAGTTTTTGGCTTTGCGCGCTCGGAAGAAGCCCAACGGAGCCGGTGGGGATCCGGATCACGTACCTGCTGCTGCAAACACAGCCCCGATCTGCAGGGCATGAGAGCTCTGTCACATTCTTCCGTATAGTTTGAAAAGGTAAGAGACACGCGATCCCTTATGAACTGACACGCGTATTCAAATTTCATATCAAGGGCATGATCGTTCCAATGCGTTTATTTGTTTATTTTTAACTATGTTCTTTTCGAGAAGCCTTTCATTTAGTGTATTTTTTTACTCACCTGGATTTGGGTTTCATACGGCCAAAATAAATATCTCGGAGCTTACAGTTTATTTACTCAGTTGATTTCTTTCTACGTTATTGATATTTGGTATTTTTTCCTAAAAGATCTCTAAAACAACCGTTAGTAGATAACAAACAATCTATATTTATCTTTTTCCTTTAATACATCGTATAGATGAAATTTGTAGGTTTTCAGAGTAGGTGACACATAGCTGAAGAACCCTCTCTCTGTTAAACATTTATCATATGGGGTTTAAAGTCTACAAATTTACTTCCTTCCTATTGTGTACTTTGGGTGTTGAAAGTGTTAATATCCGGTCATGTTTAGTCTTTCTGCAAAGTGCTAATATATCTTCTAAATCCAGCTGTTTTCGTCCCCCTACAGTTGCTGATTGGTGGTGGTGGTGAAGAGAGGCAGCTTTCACTGCTTTTCAATCGGACCATTGTCCTCTGACAGCTGCTCTTTCAATGTGGGATACAGTTTTGCTGCTTTTGCCAGGCTGAAATCGTCCAGGATCAGGACTTCCCTCATGGCAGCCGTGCTCCTCGGGCTGCTGCTCTTTGCGATGCAGTCCCCCCCGCTCCCCTCCCGGCCGCTGGCTGAGGGGGAGTCACCCCCGCTCCCCTCGACCCCTCCCACGGAGGACGGGACCACCACTCACCCCAACGGGACCGTGCAGCGGCTGCCTCAGATCCTGATCATCGGCGTGAGGAAGGGAGGCACGCGCGCGCTGATCGAGATGCTCAGCCTGCACAGCGCCGTGGCGGCGGCTCAGAACGAGGTGCACTTCTTCGACTGGGAGAGCCACTTCCAGAAGGGCTTGTCGTGGTATCTCAGCCAGATGCCCTACGCCTTCCCCGACCAGCTCACGGTGGAGAAGACGCCGGCCTACTTCACCTCGGGCAAAGTCCCGAGACGCATCCACCAGATGAACCCCGACATCAAGCTGCTGCTCATCCTCAGAGACCCCACGGAGCGGGTGCTCTCGGACTACACCCAGGTCTTTTACAACCGCCTCCAGAAGCACAAGCGCTACCAGCCCATCGAGTCGGTTCTGGTGAAGGACGGAGACATCAACCGGGGATACAAGGCTCTCAATCGCAGCCTGTACTACGCTCACATGCAGAACTGGCTGCAGTACTTCCCCCTGCAGAGCATCCACGTCGTAGACGGGGACGAGCTCATCAGGGACCCCTTTCCCGAGATGAAAAAAGTGGAGAGGTTCTTAAAGCTGGAGCCTCAGATAAATGCGTCAAATTTTTACTTCAACAAAACAAAGGGATTCTATTGTTTGAGAGACCACGGGCGAGAAAGGTGTTTACATGATTCAAAAGGCAGGGCCCACCCTCACGTGGCCCCTGCCATCCTGCAAAAACTCTATCAGTTTTTTCATGAACCAAACAAGAAGTTTTTTCAGCTAGTGGGACGAACATTCAACTGGAAGTGAACCCCTGAGTCTCGGTGCAGAGTGGTTCAGGAATAATCTGAACGGGGCTGCATTTTTCTCACTAACAATTTAGACTAAGAGACCACGCTAATGTAAATTTAAGCTAAATCTATTTTTGTACTTGTATGTTTGTTACAGGAGTGTGATTGGGCCAAATCAGGGCAGACTGTGGTTGTCTTTCCCCAGCAAACGTTTTACTGACATTTTGTTCATCTCCTCATTCATAACAGACCGTCCGAGGTAACATTGTATAAAGATAAGCACTGAGCAGTTTATTGTTGTCAAATGCTTTTTACACTTTATTTGATATGATTTTCTTAGCATTAAAATGCATTTAGAACTCTGAAGGAATTAACTTGCTGCTATGACTTTGTGTTTCATTCAGGCACACGCCATGCTGAACATGCATTTTCCATTGGTTTTTGTTCCTCAAATCTTCTTTACGTCAGATGTATAGATACTGTGCACACGTCGGACATTGCTTATCATGACTATGTATTGTAAATATTTTTTAAGTGAAGAATTAATACCATAATAAAGATGCATTTTATTTTTAGCATGTCCCTGGCTTTTTCCCCCTTTTTGGTTAGTCCATTTTGATTGGTGCCTTGTGCACCCGTTTACCGTGCAGTTTGTACCGGATATCGGTTGGCTGACTCATGCTGTGATCTAGCAGCAGCTGACTGGCTGTGCACAGGCTACCTACAGTCCAATATGAGACATTTTGAACATGCCGTGGCATGCAAATGTGGCAACTGTGTTGACTTTCCTTTTTTGTCCACCCTCTGTCTGCAGGGGTGAATTTTAAAAGCACTGTGGCTATTTTTAAGCAGCTACGTTTTATCTGATGTTTCTCATGCTTCAAACAAGATGTGCTGTCATTGTGGGTTCTTCAGACTTTACTCACACACTGCTGCTACACTTTAGTTTGAGAGAAGAGAACTGAAAAGTAAAGCTCCAAACACGAGAAACCAGAAGAATAGTCATTTATGCTCAAGGGTGCAATCTTCTTATTCAGTTTTTCAGAAAAAGGCTAGTCATTATTTATTCAAATCTTATTGCTACTTAGAAAAGTCAGAAGCGAAGTCTCATCGACATTAAGCTCCAAAACCCCACAGTTGCTGCTTTTGAATGTGGCCTAGATATGTTTAGAGGCTTAAGGAGACTTTACACAGGATGTTAACCTCTCTGCTCCACAAATGCCGACAACAGCAATATTCAGGGTTTTTTTTTTGCCCTCAGAGATCATGAATAGTATTTTCCTGCCATCCTTGCAGTTTGCATGTGTTTTTGTGGAAAAAATGTTGAGTTGTACCATGAACTACGCTTAATTCCACAAAACAAGTTTTATTGCAGCAGACAAAGAAGGGAAGGTGGAGAGCATGAACTGACTGTGAGATGTAGACTGTTCTCTGCTGCTGAACAGTCAGAAAGCAGCTTGCGTCATTTAGCGTGCACAGAAGTGATACTAGAGCTAACATGTCCCGCAGTTGTTTTTATGTTGTAGAGTGTTTTTTTCAGTTCCCAAATTTTATGTGAAATAATCACATGTGGAGAGCTTTGCAGGAAGGCTTTTGTGTTGCTTAAAGACCTTAAAAAAATAAAAAAAGTGTAGCGCAATGTCAGTGTCACCTTCCTCCAGGTCAAAGATGGACTTATGTAATTTCTAGATAAATCAGTCCCCCCCTTCACACCACTGCCTGCAAAAACACTTATCTACAGGGCTGATGGGGAAAAAACACACATACTTGGCAGTGATGCTGAGCTTCAACTTAAGAACAACAGGGACTCATTCTGTAATAAATTAAAAATGTTCACCCTTCATAATTCTTTTTCATTATTACATAATAATTACTTTAATGGGCTTATGATAGACTCCGCTGTAGCGTAGCTTCGGCCGCTCACAGAAAATACAGCTAGCATTCATTATTAATTGTTGGGAGCTCCACCAACTTTCTGGTTTTCATTGGAACAGCTGTCTCATGCCCCTAAAAGGGGACATTGTTCAATATCATATAAAGGTCTTATGAAAAAGAAAGTACATCCTTCTTCTTTTCCAAGGTGCACACAATTCAAATTAAAAAATCCAATTCTTGCATTGCCTATAAACATTTTAAATGCAAACAATACATTACACATTCCAGTGCCAATTCATACATATGTGCAAAAATGGCCCAGAATAATATTTGTTGTTGTTCATCTGATCTTGTATTTACCTCTTTTCAAAGCCTGATGTGGACCAGAGAATATCTATAATTATGCCTCATTCATAAAACATATTACCCCAGAGAAGGTTTTTCACAACTTCATTAAATGAGGTGCTGTTACTCCCAGCATGTTTTAAGGGTACAGCATGGCAGAAGTCCGATCAAAATTAACAACAGTTTTTTAAAGACAAGAGTCATCTTTATTTGCAGATTAAGATGATGTAATGGATCTTTGCTGATTCTTTGGCTTTTATTGGCAGGTAGCTCTGATCTTTACTGTGGAGGCATTATGTGTGCACTCATTAGAATTAATCATGATTTAAAGTTATTCAAAATTAACGTGATGATATTCTCTGAGTGGATCACTCAGTGCATCCTTTCTCACAATGAACATAAACATTTGTTCTTCTGTACCATAAATTATGGCACAGCACTGTTAAAACATGTAAAGTTTCCTTATCAAAGCGTTTACTCAATGCTTTTGAACTTGAAATGATTTTGAAAGCTGGCATGTCTTCTTTTTCCTGTCACTCTTGATTTTTTTTAGCTTTCTTACCTCTTTTTTAACTCTTACAATCAGAGCTGTATCTATTAAAGGTCCATTAAGGCCCCATTAGTCTCGTCAGCTGTGCATACTTCTTAAGTTTTACGTTCACAGATTTCCCCTAACACCCCCCAATTAATCCCAGGCACATAATTAATTTGTCTTCTTGCACTGCTTGCAGTAAGAGCAGCATACGCGGGATACAAACAGGATTAATGGCCATCGCGTTCTCCTGGCACCTCCCCCTCGTCCAATACCTCCACCGCAGTGTTCTTTGCTGCAGAACTTTCTGGACTCATTTGGAGCCAGTCTGCCACATCAACCCCTCCCCTCTCCCCACTGCCAGCCCACACTAGTTGCTCCTGAAGAGGCCCGTTTCCTCCAAACCACAATCAGCCTTTCTTGGTTTTTTCAAAGGATGATGTGATCCGATGGAGCTCGGCCCCTTCTGCGGTCTCCAGGACTGCAGTTCGCTTTAATTGGAATAGATTGTTTGTCCAATTCAATGTGTGAGCTGCAGCAGAAATAACACACGCATCCACGGTTTTCTGTTTTCCATACAGACCCTGGAATTGGAATTCACAGTCACTGTCCACTTGTTTATCCTCAGTTTACACTGGTCATGCATTTAGTCACTGAGCATTTTCTGATTTTTCAGACGTATCAAGGTTTAAATGGTCAGTATTAGGAAGATGCTTTAGCTGTTAATGCTGCTCTGAAGGCTTTTCAAAGGGACCTCTCTCAATAAAAAAAAAAAAAATGTTTTATGCACAATAGGAGTTTTGTTTGCCTCTGCCTCTGCTTCTGAGGCCGTGTCTTTTTCTCCACCTTGTATATAATGTGAATCAACAATGTGATTTCTACAATAAAAAAAGCGGTATAAAGGTTTGTTTCTTCCACGTATGTTCAAACACATTTCTTACATTTCTTTGTATTTGATAACAAAGGTCAGCTATGTGAAATGTGAGCCACCTTACATCATGAAGGAAAGTGCTATATCTTTGCATCAAATGGCTAGAGGAGCTTTAATATATTTCACAAATACTTTCATGTATCATGTTTTTGTTTTTTTCAAATAAACCAAGAAAAATCATTTAGAAATGTTCATCCTATGCACTTAGTGTGAGAAGGGTTGGAATTTGCTAGAAAAAGTGTTTAAAAAAACAGCAGAACCAGCTTTTTCATTGTTTGTTACTTCCATTATGAGACAGAGACTTCTTCGAGAAGCTTGTTTTCAGCGGCCCTGATGTAACCTTGAAGTCGAGACATAGCAGAGAAATGAATTATTCTCAGAAAAATCTTATGACATGTTCATTTCATTTGAAAAAATCATCAAGCAGCTATCAAACCATTGATTATTCCGTAAAAGTAACTCCAATTTTCGAATGATTTAATTCATAATGAAAGTCGATGAGTAAAAAACAACAATTTATTTAATAAAAATGTTAATTTTCCATGTCTTCCAGTCCTGAGAATCGTATTCAGCAATATCTCAGAAACAACAGACATATGAACATCTTAAAGTCACGACTACTTCCATTAAACTTAGAAACAGGCACACAATACATTTACTTACATTTAATGCCAGTGTTCATATAAACACCAAGAGACCCTGTGAAGAAGTAGGAAGAACATCTCTTAAACAGGATTGCTGCCTGCAAAGCTTGCTATTGAGTAGAATTTTATGATCACTTCGGTTTTTCAGAAATGTGAGGCTCAAGGTGTGCAGTTTCTCATTGTGACTGCTAGCAGGCAACAAGAGACACATTCTCACATTGAGGAAACAGTGTCAAGCTTAACGCAATGTTATGGGAATGTGCTTCTACTATCACTTCACCGCGGGTTTGTGGAGATTGTGAGGCTTGAGGTATGTATTGTTGTTGCTGCCATTTAGATTTTTGGTTTTGGAACCGTTTGTAAGACACATTTTTCTGATTCCAAATCTGTGTTAAAGTGCCCGGTAAAATTCTGCCAAGCTTTCCATTCAAGGCTAAATGTATGATAAATGTTCATGGAGAAACTATATTAAAGGTGTCTACTGTTGCTATTCAGTTCCAAACAATGGGTCTTATTTTCACAGCCAGAGAGGTTGCCCCCTGCTAGCAGAGGTAATGTAGATTCAAAGTACATCTGTTTTCTTGACACCTGAATGCTACTTTTACTTTTTTGAGGAAATGAAAGCATGGACTCAGCATGACTTTTAGAAATATTTAAGAATTGTGAGCTCTGATATGCATTAAATGACATAC